CCTGCCTGTCGGTGAAGAATTGGGAGGAAAGGGCGGACCTCGCCTTAGCCGACTCAGGGAAAAGCTTCATGCGTTACCTCCACGACAGGGGAACACCCACCTCCAGGTGGGCAGATGATCTGCTGGGCCAGAACTGCTCCTGGACTTGGGTGGCCAGACTAGCATTATCCCCAGATACACCCTACTCCTGCCTTTCCTGGCCGACGAGGGCCTCCTGCAGCGGACAATCCTTCTTTAGATAATGCTGATACCTTCCTTCGCTGGGGACGGTCCAGTCCGAGGCGCTGAGCTCTGTGTGGACTGGGAAGTTTTCTTTCCTTTCTCTCCAGCTTAGGTGGCTGTGGAGTGGGCGATCTTACTGCCCCCCGCTCTGCTGGCCCCTCCCCGGTCCTCCTGAGGCCGGGCTTAAGGGGCTGGGGGGCTGGGAGGGCCCTTTCCCGCCAGGGGGTGGCCCAGAGGGCTGGCTCTTTCCGCCGGAGAGAAGGGCTGGTTCCGATTGCCCCGCAGAGCCCTCCCCGAGGCGGCGAGCCCAGCAGGGGCGTGTCCCCGCGCTCACCTGCCATTGGGCAGGTGGGGCGGCCGGCCTCTGCCAGGGCCGTACTCTATAAATGCGGAGCGGCCCGGCCGCCGAGCCAGGCGCGCGGCAGGATGGTGGACAGCGTGTACCGTACCCGCTCCCTGGGGGTGGCGGCCGAGGGGCTCCCGGACCAGTACGCGGACGGAGAGGCGGCGCGCGTGTGGCAGCTCTACATCGGGGACACCCGCAGCCGCACGGCCGAGTACAAGGCCTGGCTGCTGGGGCTGCTGCGCCAGCACGGCTGCCAGCGGGTGCTCGACGTGGCCTGCGGCACCGGGTGAGCCGGGGCTGGGGGGGCGGCGGGTGGCGGCGGGTAGGGGGGCAGCCTCCACCGGCGACCCGCAGCCGGCGGGGCCGGGGGGCCCGCGGGGTAGAGCGGGCGGGAGGCAGGGCCGAGGACACCCAGGGTGCGAGGGGGCTGTGGGCACCGCAGGGTGGGGACTCAGGGTGGGGACGGCCGGCTCCTCGGGGCGACGCGTAGGCCGGGCTTTGCGGCCAGATCGACGAAGCTCTCACGGGCCCCGGCTCTGGCATTGCTCCCCAGTGATGGCCTTGGGCAGTGTTAACAGTTTACATTCGTTCAATATTTGCCCGCGCCACGCGCTGTGCCAGGAGCTGTCTTTACACCAATTTTTAAGGTCCTTACAAAACCTCACGAGGTAAGGAGTGATATCCCATTTACGGCTGTCGAAAACCTGCTTCAGAGGGGCGAAGGCCCTCTACCTAGCGGAGAGGAGACTCAGACCCGCGCTGGTTAGGGTCAGGCTATACTACCTCCCCGAGCGCGGCTTCCTCGATCCCAGAGGCAGCAGGCTGCCCCATCTCTCAAAGCGGGGCTAATACCGCCTACTGCACAGGGTTGCCATGAGGCTTAGTGCGCACTGATAGAGTGCCTGGCTCTGAACGGGTGCTAAAAAAACAAAACCAAAAAGTTGCTACCTGGTGGTAAGGCACCGACGTGAGGAACCTCGTTTGAGGTCAGTGGAGAGGGCCTGGGGCGAGGAAGAAGAGGAATGACTCAAGACTGAAGTGTCCAGCACAGGGCCTCTTCCTTGCCTTCCCAGGCCCCCTGACTGCCCCTCTCTGCCTCTCCCCTCCGGCCCTGCCCAGGGTGGATTCCATCATGCTGGTGGAAGAGGGCTTCAGCGTGACCAGCGTGGACGCCAGTGACAAGATGCTCAAGTATGCACTCAAAGAGCGCTGGAACCGGCGGCACGAGCCAGCCTTCGACAAGTGGGGTACGCCGGTCCAGTCAGGCCCTCCCTGCGCATCACCCTGGGCCGCGGTGCTCTCTGCCCTGGGCTCCTTTAGCTCCTGTGCCAGGGTGCTTGTTTTCCTTAAGGGAACAGCAAAATTACTTTCTTTCCCTGGAAAGGGAGGCTTAGGCACCAGAATGAGGTATCTGGTAATGCGGGGCTAGTTTTAATGATGTTTGTAGTGTCTTCTCCCTTTTCCCAAATAAAAACCGGTAAGCGCAGAGCCTTTCTTCTCAATCACAGCTTCCTCCCCCCTTGACCCCTCCTTCCCTTCACCCTCCATATCTGTAATCCCCTCCCCCTAACTGGATGGGGAGTCCCCATGTGTCTTTAAGGGGAAACTGAGGCAGGGCTGCACTTGGTGGAGGTGGGTACTGCTGGGGCCGTGGTGCCATCCTGACCCCTCTTCCCCTTCCTGGTCCCAGTCATCGAAGAAGCCAACTGGATGACTCTGGACAAAGATGTGCCCCAGCCACCAGGGGGTGGCTTCGATGCTGTCATCTGCCTTGGAAACAGTTTTGCCCACCTGCCAGACTGCAAAGGTGAGACAGGGTGTGGCCTGAAGCCTGGCCCTTGCTTTGAGCTATACCTCTTTCCACAGACCCCCTAGGTGCCCGCTCTCCTGCCGGAGCCGACTCTCGTTTTCTGCTCCTCTCTGCCTTGGCATCGGTATCCCCGGGGAGGAGAAAGATGGGAGGGAGGCTGGAGCTCGGGGCCCTCAGCAGACGCAGCCTCTCTGCCCCTGCCCGGAGCTCAGGAGACCAGAGCGAGCACCGGCTGGCGCTGAAGAACATCGCGAGCATGGTGCGGTCAGGGGGCCTGCTGGTCATCGATCATCGCAACTACGACCATATCCTCAGCACAGGCTGTGCACCCCCAGGAAAGAACATCTACTATAAGGTGGGGTCCCTGGGGTGGGAGGCCCAGAATGGGGGATGTGATCCCGGGGTCCAGGCCGCACGGGGGTTGCAGAGGTTAATGCCGCCTGCACCACCGCCTACAGAGTGACTTGACCAAGGACATCACGACATCTGTGCTGACAGTGAACAACAAAGCCCACATGGTGACCCTGGACTATACAGTGCAGGTGCCAGGGGCTGGCCAGGATGGTTCTCCCGGCTTGAGGTAGCCACTGGGCTTGGCAGGGGGTGAAGAGGGGTGGTGCTGAGGCCACCAGTCCTCATGGCTGCTTGGGGGCTCTGTTGCAGTAAGTTCCGGCTCTCCTACTACCCACACTGTTTGGCTTCCTTCACGGAGTTGCTCCGAGCAGCCTTCGGGGGCAAGTGCCAGCACAGCGTCCTGGGCGACTTCAAGCCTTACAAGCCGGGCCAGGCCTACATTCCTTGCTATTTCATCCATGTGCTCAAGAGGACGGACTGAGCGCTGACTGTGGCCTCAGCTCCTACAACTCTCTGCCCAGGCACTGCCAGATCTGGCTGGGGAGGTGGGGGCTAGCGGCCCCATACCAAGGCCAGCCCCCAGCGCAGATCCTGGGGTGTGGGGAGGGGCAGACCACTGCTGCGGGTGCAGGGATTTGGGTTCAGGCAAATGGAAGTGTGAGCAATACAGTCTGTGCCTTTTTCAGTCCCCGCATGCCTTGTGTTTCTGTCAAAAGGCTCGAGCTCCCCGAGGTGCCCTCCCCTGGGGCTTACTCCTTCCACAAACTTGCTCTTCCACGCTCCAGCCTTTCAGACCACAACCAGCAGGGGGCAGCATATACTTTATTTTCAGCCAAGACTCGGGGGTGGGGGCGGCGGGGGAGCAATCCCCAGAGCTCCATCCAGGCCCAAGTTCCTCCTCCTGAGCAGAGGGTCTTTAGTCTTGGAGCTGGAGCTGGCCTGGAAGGACAAACAGGTAGGCAGGGGATGACACCCTCTGAGCTCTTGTGGGGCTACTCAGCACCAAGGGGGTCTTCTGGAGTTAGGCAGCCTTTGGGTGCAACAGCAGTATGCAGAGAAGGAGCCCTTTGCTCTCGGGCGTCTGTGGGAATAACCTAAGTACCTTCAGCCCTCGCGGGCAGGGTCCCGGATCGCGGGAGGCTCCTAGCAGGCGGCAAACTTGCGCTGGATGCGCTTGTACCGCAGCAGTTCCTGCTCGCTGACCGAGGGCTGCAGCCGGGCAGCAGCCTGCAGCAGGTCCTCCATGGTGAGGAGCAGTGCCGCGCTCCCAGGCTCCAGCCCTGGGGGGTGGCAAGGGGGCAACAGAGGCTGTGGTCTGCGTCCGAGGAGGGGAGAGCCCTGGGGTGGGCATCTGCTTGCCCAGAGGCCCCCAAATGTCAACAGTCCCTCCTCTGATATCCAGGAGCAGGCCTGGTTCCCGTTAGCTTTCTGGGTGACCTCCGGGGCTGGCAAACAGCTCACCTTCCTCCAGGTCTCGGAGCCTGCGTTTGAGGGCAGCTGTCATGGCATCGGAGCAGAGGGAATAGAGGTCTGCACCCGTCAGCTGGGGAGGGCAGCGATCCAGCACATTCACCAAGCTCACAGAGGGCTCTAGCTTGAATCTGTTGCACAGATAGAGGAGAGAAACGGTTTAGTCTGTCAAAAGGCATCCCCGGCCAGCTTATTCTGCATGTTGCATTTATCCCCCTAACCATCCCAAGGCCCAAGCCCCTTGGGAGTCTCCCCCTAACGGGGCATACTTGCGTGTGATGGCACTTAGAACGCGTAGCTGGGAGGCACGGTCCTCGCTCACCCCCACAAACACCAGCTTGTCAAATCTTTAGGGAAACAGGCAGGCGTAAGTGTCGGGGAGCCCAGCGTGATGGTGGGGGAGGCACAGGATGGGGGCAAAGGGCCAGGCCCAGAAGGGCGCAGTAGAGGTGAGAGGTACGGGGCACACACCTGCCAGGCCTCAGGAGGGCAGGGTCCAGGAGGTCTGGTCTGTTGGTAGCTCCGATCACAAATACATCCTGAGTGCTGTGAAGCCCATCCAGCTCAGCCAGGAGCTGAGACACCACCCTGCGAGTGAGGACATGGAGGCCAGAGAGTCCTTGGCCCTTTCCCAGCCTCTGCCCTACCTGTGGGGCCCCTCCTTGCAGGCCTTCTCCACGGGGCTGCCTGTGTGGTTGTTCCCTGCAGACCCCTCCATGCAGGCCCCCCCGATCTCCTCAGTGTCCCCCACCTGACTCCACGGCCCCCCTTCTGCTGTTATACTGTTTCGGAACTGGGATGGCAGGAACTCTTTGGGCTCCGAAGACTGCTGCAACCTGTCTCCCGTCCCTCCGTCTTGGACCCCAGACTCCAATCGGGCTCAGACCCCCACCTGTCCATCACACCTCCAGAGTCTCCACTTCGCCCCCGGCTTGGGGCCAGCGAGTCGAGCTCATCAAAGAAGATAATGCACGGAGCCGCGGCCCTGGCCCTGGCAAACACTGAGGAGAGAAAGGGACCCACAGGAGCGGGAAGCTCAGGGGGGATCTGAAGTCAGGTGATGGAGGAGGGGAAGCCAGGAGGGACAATTCACCACTCCAGGCACTAGGCCGCCCTGGGCAGGTCCTCTGTAGCAAGGACCACGAGACGGTGGAAAGACCAGGAGCCACCGGGGGGTGGGCAGCACAAGAGCCCAAGGGTTTGGCAAGGGCTAGAAGCCTGGCCCCTCCTCACTCACCTTCTCGCACGTTCTCCTCACTCTGACCCACGTACATGTTGATGAGCTCAGGCCCCTTCACGCTGAGGGAGAGGATGAGACTCGTCAGATGCGTGAACACACAACAGACCTGTCAGCCAGCCCCTCCTGCTCCCCAGCCTGCTGCAGCTCCCAGTCTGCCCACCACCCCTTCCACACCCCCTCGCCACCTGAGGAAGGTGAGGCAGCATTCAGTGGCTACTGCCTTGGCCAGGAGGGTCTTGCCCGTGCCGGGGGGACCATGGAGCAGAAGACCCGAGCGCCTGAGGCCCAGGCTCAGCAGCTCGGGGTGCTCTAGAGGGAGCTGAATGGTCTCCAGAATCTCCTTCTTCACCTCCTGCAGCCCGCCCACATCATGCCAGGACACTGAGGGGATCTAGGAGATGAACATTGTGTGGTTGGGGACAGGGTGGTGGAAAGAGCTCCTGCCCTACCTCGGAGGACCTGGAGTCTCTACCTTGGGGGCTCCAACGGCCTGGGAGTGGGCTGTCTGCATCTGCTCAAGTGCCTGCCCGAAATCCTCAGCCAGGAGAGGAAAACCGGCAGCACAGAGCTCCCCCTCCTCCTCCTCACTCAAGCCACCTGCCAGCCTGCAAAGACAACCCAGGGAGACCTCTGGGGGACCTCACCGAAAGCCTCGCCCCCATCAGGCTCCTGGCTCCTCCTCCCCCGACCCCAGCCCCCACCCGTGTTTCCTCTTGCCTCCTTTTCCCTCCTGTGCCCAGTTTCCTCACCCCGAGTTCTTGACCCTGGTGCAGGCTGCCCGGCTGCTGTAGGTCAAAAGAGCGTAGAGATCCCCTACGACGAAGCCCTGGGGAACCACAGCAGAGGGCGCGTGAGCAGGGCACAGTAGGCAGGGACCCTCAGGGGGCCGGTCCCCCAGTGGGAGCAGCGGCCCAGGGTTGACGCCCCCACGGGCAGGGCAGCAGGACTGGGGGGGGGTCCCCCGCCTCGGCACTCACCGCACACCGCCGTGCCAGCTGCGTCAGGTTCACCTCTTGGCCCAGAGGGAGGTGGGCGGTGAGGGCCCGCAGGACACGGAGCCGCTGCCCCTCTGACAACACGGGCACCTCCAGCTCATGAGGGAACGCTGTCTGCACGTCGGCAGGCACGTCCCGGGCCTGGCTTGCGGTGGCCACGACCATCAGGGGCGGGCAGCTGCAGACCCAGAGGGGTGCTGAGGGCCAGAGTGCGGCTGGCGGCCCCTGAGAGCTGTCTCGTCACGAGGCAGGGAGGTGGGTGGGTGCAGGCATGGGGGAGGGAGGTGAGCGCCCCAAGGCTTCCTGCCTGGGGCTCCATCGGCGCACCTCGAGAGGGGGACCTGTGTCCCCCCCCACACACACACACAGGGAGCTCACCGAGGGTAGAGGCTGTGCTTTTTCTCTGACGTAGTGCTCCCCACGAAATACTAGGGACTGCACCCCCGCCCCTCTGGATACCCCAAGCTCCTCAGCTCAGGACTGTCCGGAGGACAGCCCAACGGGCGGGATGTCTGAGAAGCCACTGAGGAGGAGGGGACAAAGGCTGCAGAGAGGTGGGGGCCTGCCCTTTCACAGACCCAGCTCTGTACCATACCTGGTGAGGGGGTCCTCATCAAGGAGGAGGTGACGCAGCGTGGCCACCACACGGGCGTCCTCACCTAGCCCATCACGGTCCCGGCCCAGAAGGTCCACGGCTGTCAGCAACAGAACCACAGGCCGGCAGCGCCGGGCCCGGGAGAAGACGGCCTGCAGCTTTGTCTCCACAGCCCCGCTGCTGTCTGCACAGAGGCTAGAGCAGGGCACCTGGGGACGGGGCCCCAGTGGTCTGTGAGCAAAGGGCAGGTGTGACGGAGGCAGGAAGGGCAGGGAGAGGAGTCAGAAGAAGATGGAGGCCACTTTGTTTTAGAGGGCAGAGATGGGGAGCAGTAGCACCGGCTAAGTCCTACCTCCTCTTTAACCCAACCTCACTCCCTGGACTGCCCATCACAGTCTTCAAACCCCTTCCTTTTTGAAAGCATCTTTTCGGGGCACCTGGGTGGCTCAGTCGTTAAGAGTCTGCCTTCGGGGGCACCTGAGTGGCTCAGTTGGTTAAGCGTCTGCCTTGGGCTCAGGTCATGATCCCAGGGTCCTGGGATCGAGCCCCGCGTCGGGCTCCCTACTCGGCAGGGAGCCTGCTTCTCCCTCTCCCACTCCCCCTGCTTGTGTTCCTGCTCTCACTATCTCTCTGTCAAGTAAATAAAAAAAATCTTAAAAAAGCAAGCAAGCAAGCAAGCAAGCAAGCATCTTTTTGTAGCTGAGAATCACGGGAATATGTCTGACCTACTCAGGTGCCGGGGCCAGGCTGGTGGCCAGAAGGGGGAGGGGAGAGGGAGAATCTGGGCTTCACCTCACCAGGTACCCTCACCTTCAGCAGGTGGAGCCCAAGGCGGCTGCAGGCTGCGGTGACAGCTGTGGTTTTGCCACTGCCGGGGGGACCCCGGAGAAGGACACTGCTGGTTCCTGTCAACAGGGCACCTCTGCAACCAGAGAGCAGACACTTGTCCCCTCCATTCTGCTCAAACTGAAGAGCCCCCAGGAACAGAGGGACCGTGGATCGAGAAAGCAAGCACCCTCTCTCTCCTGGCGGCCTCCCTCCTCCTCCAGGGCTGGTGCTGTAGCTCGCCTACCCCACCTGCGGTGCCCTGGCAGGGGCGCGGAGCGTATCCAGCAGCCGGGACAGTTCCCTTTCTCATCACTGCCTTCAGTAAAGCCTTGACTGCTATGTCTGGTCTGGATCATATGGAGAGGAATTAGGGGAGGGTCTGTGTCTACACGTAGGCCAGTGGTATGAGGAACGTTATCTTTTAGGGCCAGGGTGGTGAAGGCCAGAATGGCTAGTGGGCTCCCCAAGGGGAAGGGCAGTCTCAGAGATAGCTGTCCCTGGTGGAGATTCTTCTTCCACAGCCAACCTTGAAGGCTGGAGGTTATCCCCAGAAAGGA